TTGTCTTTCTTGTTAAATATTAACAAGTGTGAGTAGTGTGGATAATAGTCCCACATTGGATGGAAATGTGGTGACTTGAGCATTTATAAGTGAGAGAACTCATACACCTATTACCTTAAGGTTTTGGGTGAGTATGTGGTGTGTCTCTCACAAAGGTTGCTCTAGAAAAAAGTCCCACTATGTTCAATGCTCCCTAGTTGAAAGTCTAACAGTGGTATCATGAGCCTTTGGTTCGAATAAAAGGAACGATCCCCATAGGTCGTGGGTTGAGTGTCTCGTTGAAAGTGTCAACGACAGTACAAGGGTGTAGTTGCACAGTTGAAGTTTTCGCTTAAGGGAGAACATTGTGGATAGAAGGCACATTAACAAGTGTGAGTAGTGTGGATAATAGTCCATTTATAAGTGAGAGAATCCTATAAGGGAGAGCATTGTGGATAGAAGGCACATTCGCTTAAGGGAGAGCATTGTGGATAGAAGGCACATTAACAAGTGTGAGTAGTGTGGATAATAGTCCATTTATAAGTGAGAGAATCCTATAAGGGAGAGCATTGTGGATAGAAGGCACATTAACAAGTGTGAGTAGTGTGGATAATAGTCCATTTATAAGTGAGAGAATCCTAGTCCAATAGTCCATTTATAAGTGAGAGAATCCTAGTCCATTTATAAGTGAGAGAATCCTTATAAGTGAGAGAACCCATACACGCTTAAGGGAGAGCATTGTGGATAGACTCACACTTGAGGGAGACCATTTATAAGTGAGAGAATCCTTATAAGTGAGAGAACCCATACACGCTTAAGGGAGAGCATTGTGGATAGACTCACACTTGAGGGAGTCCATTTATAAGTGAGAGAATCCTTATAAGTGAGAGAACCCATACACGCTTAAGGGAGAGCATTGTGGATAGACTCACACTTGAGGGAGAGTGTTAAATATTAACAAGTGTGAGTAGTGTGGATAATAGTCCCACATTGGATGGAAATGTGGTGACTTGAGCATTTATAAGTGAGAGAACCCATACACCTATTACCTTAAGGTTTTGGGTGAGTATGTGGCGTGTCTCTCACAAAGGTTACTCTAGAAAAAAGTCCCACTATGTTCAATGCTCCCTAGTTGAAAGTCTAACATTTCTCTAGTTTCAGCAATTTTTTCATCTTCTTTTTCTTCCGGTTTTGGCATGTTAAGGACATGCACCACTTTCAATGCTGTGAGAAGGAATTTCATTTTTTTCTGCCAATGAATAAAATTCCCTCTGTCGAACTTCTCTAATTTCACAAAGTCAGAAGTCATCTCTTTTAGTGAAGCAGCCACTGAATGAGATAAATTGTTCCTTAAGAATGTTAGATATATATTGTTTGGGATTGCTGCAAAACTAAGAATTAATGGAGATGAAAATAGAGAAATAAATTTTCTTGATAAACTTCCAAAGCGTATGTTTCCACACTAAGCTTAAGGAACAATTTGCCTCCACCAATCTTGGTATGTTGGATGCAAACGGGTTTACCGACGAATTTCCTGCAGGATACTTTGGAATCCTTTAAGAGAATTGCACAGTCTCTCTAAGCATAGTATTTTACAGAAGAATATTTCTTTTACTTGCTCTCATGCATTAGAGAAGATGCATGAGAAGAAAAAGATAATTTAGAGTGAGAAAATAGTTTGAGACAGATTGTATTTTTTGTGTGTTTCATCGTGTCAAGAAACATTCAATTTATAGTGATGCTACATTATGTTTGGGAACAAATGTATCCCTTGAAATATTGTATCGCACCATTTTAGGTTACACCGACAGTAACAATGCTTTGCTAAAAACTAGCCATATATTGCTTATAAGTTGCAACTGTTCCGAATTAAATGCTAACCAATGACATGACATACTATACCAACAATATTCAGCCGTAGCATTTAAATTAGAGATGAAAAAGTTCAAATATAATATTTATATTATTAATTCAAATAATACAATCATTCTTATTTAATATTATTTTGGAAATTCTCTTACATAAAGTGTGTAAATTAACCAAATCTTTATATGGGTTAAAACAAGCACGCAAACAATGACATCAAAAATTTGACCATGTTGTGTTAACTAATGGATACAAAATAAATGAATCTGATCAATGTACTTATACTAAATTTAGCAATAGAAAATGTGTCATGATTTATTTATATGTGAATGATATGTTAATCTTTGGCATTGATTTAAATGAGGTAGAAAAGACTAAAACTTTCTTATCCAAAATTTTTAATATGAAACACTTGGGTGAAGCAGATGTGATTTTAGGAATTAAAATCATAAGAGATGGTGAAAATATTGGTTTATCCCAATCTCACTACATCGAAAAGCTGCTTAAGAAATTTGATCACTTCAATTATAAACTAGTTTCTACTGCATTTGATCAAAATGTTAATTTGCAGCCACATAAAGGGTGTCCAGTGACACGACTTGATTATTCAAAGGTAATCAGATGTTTAATGTACGGTATGACTTGTACTAGACCTGATATTGCATATGTCGTTGGTAGGTTAAGTTGATATACAAGTAATCCAAGTAAAGATCATGTTAAGATAAGTCAAAGATATTATTAGCTATATTAAGTAGGAAAATATTATGTGTTGTGAATAATTTATTTTACAATTATATGATTACTGTGTGCGGCTGTCATTCCCTTAATAGAAGGGGAATTTTAGGGGTTACTTTGTGTATATATTGTATCATGATCAATGAATAATATATCCAAATTATTACTTTGAAAACTTCTATATGGTATCAGAGCAGACACCGTTTCTCTTTTAATATAGAAAACGATGGTTTTCTATTTTTTAGTAATTTCTGATGGCTTCTGATAAAAACAAATTGGAGAATTCTGGATTTTCCGCTGTTGTCCAATTCAACGATGCACTCACCCTAGAACGGCTTGACCGAAGTAACTACGTCAAATGATCGTTGAACATAGAACAAAATCAGAGGCAGAAAATGATGGGGTTACGTTACCGGAACAAAGACTGCACCAACAAAAGATAAATCCGATGAATATGAAGCATGGGAAGATGAAAATTGCTTGGTCAAGTCCTGGCTTCTGGACTCCATGACCAAAGAAATCAGATCCCTTTTCATTCGCTTAGCTACGACGAGAGAAATTTGGGAAACTGTGAAACAAACTTAGTCGACCAAGATGCATCAAGAGTTTATCAATTACATCGTGAGGTAATCTCTACTCAACAAAATGGTGGATCTGTTATTACATACTTTGGAAAATTTCAATGGCAAGAGTGCGATAGTATTAATAATTGTACCATGGAATGAACTAAAGATGTTGAGAAATTCAATAAGATAATTAATTCTCAACGAGTTTATGTTTTTTTGGCTGGTTTGGATTCACATTTGGATGGAGTTCGTGGTCGTGTTCTAGCTACCACTCTGCTTCCTAAATTTCAATTAGTTTATGCAATTGTATGTGCAGAGACAAATCGCCAAGAAGCTATGCTAAATGGTGAGTCTTCGAATGGGTCTGCCTTGGCTGTCAAGAAGTATCCGAAGAAAGAAGTCCGCAAGTGTAATCACTGTAATGGAGATAATCATGTCATAGAGACATGTTTTAGAGATTTTTTTCATAGGCAAATAAAGATATATTAAATGGGAGTACTAGGAGTACTCCAACCCAATAAACATAACCTACAACAGCACAACACCAACACCTAGGTAATTTAATTATAGAAAATCACTAGGATATTTTAACCAATTATAATATATGCATTTACGATTATGTTTATATCTAATAGAAATCCACCACCATGAAGATAAGATAATTTTATCTATGATAACCTCGTGCTTTCCCACCTCGCCATAAAAAATGATAAGATTTCTAGACCGCCAAATACACTAGCATGCCGTAGACTTCGAACACAACTTCAACATTGAAACCGCCCACTAAAAAAAGGTACAAATGAGAATCTTGTTCATAAGACCTGGAATCCCAATCCAAAAAGCAAGCCTCTTCCAAATTAAGGAGATTTTGGGACAAGTAAAAGAAAAATGGCAGTTATCTTCTTTACTACGGAAACAAAACACGCATACATTTTCATGAGCATTCAAAATAATCCCTCTTCGATTCAGATTTGTCTGAGTGGGGAGCTTATCCAACAACAAGCGCCACGAAAATATCTTGATCAAGATCAAGGATATAAAGGAAAAGTCTCTAAAGAAATGGAATGTAGGAGTTTACAAGACAAAGGAAATTAGGGCCAAATTTGTAGCTAGGATATGATTGATGGCTCATTTTTAGGGGATTATACAAGAATATATGATTACTGTCATGAAATTTTAAGGACAAATCCTAGCTCAACTACGAAATTAAGTGTCACACCTGTCCAAAAACGTGTTGAGGATACAAGGCCTTATTTCAAGAGGTTATATATTTGCTATGCTTCTTGCAAAAATAGTTTCAAGTTGTGTAGGCCTATAATTGGTCTTGATGGATGCTTCTTAAAAGGTCTTTGTTGAGGTCAGATTTCGGAAGCTATTGGTACAGATCCCAATGAACAGATGTTACCTATAGCTTTTGTTGTTGTGGAAAGGGAAAATAAAGACAACTGGTCCTAGATTTTGGATCTCCTTATTGATGATATAGGAGGTAGGGATGAATGTCGAACCTATACATTAATTTCTGATCAGCAAAATGTACAAACCTATTTCTTCACATTCAGTTAAAGTATGTAGTCCTTAGTTAATGTATTTAGTCACTATTGTTTGGTTTAAGAATAGAGATTTTGTGTAAGACATTTATATAAAAAATTTAGGAAGAAGTTTCCTGGAAAAATGTATAAGGAGATCATTTGAAAGGCTGTCAGGGCTACTTATCCACAAGCATGGGAAAGGGAGATGAGATGAATGAGACAGTTACATGAAGAGGCTTTTAAGCATATGATGCAGACTCCACCTTGATTTTGGAGCAAATCCTATTTCAGGACAACTTCAAAGTGCGATTCTGTTTTGAATAACATGTTTGGGGCTTTCAATAGTGTGATTGTAGAGTCAAAAGCAAAGCCATTGGTGACTATGCTAGAAGAAATAAGGGGCTACATCATGGAAAAATGGGAAACTAATAGGGTGAGATTCTCCCAATTAAGTGATGGGGGTGTTTTTCCAAACATTAAGAAGAAATTGAAAAAAAGAAACACCTACACAAACTACCAGATAGTAAGGTACATTATCAATTGTGAATTTCAGACATTATCAACTATGTGTTCAATACTTATACATTTTATGAATTTTTGTAGGATGTCATCTGAGTTCATCTTTGAAGTAAGACACATTAAGAATCAAGTTGATGTGTTTTTTTTGTCAATTTAAAAGGCCATGAATGTTCATGCAAAAAGAGGCAACTAACAGCTCTCCCCTGTGTTCATGCAATTTCTGCATTGAAGAGTAGAAGTCTATGTATTCATGATTATATCCTAGAGTTTTATAAGAAATCAAGGTATCAAGTTGTTTATGAACCTATCATTTATCCTGTTAATGGAACCAATTGATGGGTCAGAACAGAGTACCCAGATGTGCAGCCACCAAAATTCAAAAAAATATCAGGAAGACCCAAAAAGAGGAGGAGCCATGAGCAAGATGAAATTGACGGGACATGTCGAAAGATGAGAAAAATTGGAATGGTACTTAGGTGTACCAAGTGCAAACAAACTAGACAGAATAAGTCAACCTGTAAGAGGACTCCTTCTAAACATTCATCTCAGTCACCATCTCAACCCACTCAATTAAGGGCTACACAATCATCTCAGCCACCAAGTCAAACCACTCAAGAAAGGGATACACAATAATCTCAGCTACCAAATCAAACAACTCAAGCAAGGGATCCACAATCATCTCAGCCACCATCTCAAACAACTCAGTCATTTGTTTCACAGTCATCTCAGCTAGGAGGGAGGCCAAAGAAGTTACCTGTTAGGAATTCAAATCAGTTATTTATTACAAAGGGTCCAACTACCAGGCTAAGTGCATCACAAAATGCAATTGGACCTACCACTAGGAGGACCACTTCAACAAAAAGAAACAATCCAAAGAATAGCATTTAGTCATGTCTGTATTGTAACAATCTTATGTAATTTTTGTTTTGAGAACATGGTTTATGTCATGTCTATTTTAAGACAAGGTTTATGTCATGTCTTTTTTAAGACAAGGTTTATGTTATGTGTGTAATAAATTATATCATGTTTGTTTTGAATAAAGTTTATGCAAGGTTTGAACAATGAAATTTGAACAAGGTTTAATCAAGTGGAAGTTTATCATTCAATTATAATTCTATTTTGCAAATTTATCATTCAATTTATAAAAGTTTATGCAGGTTTTAACATTGTATAAAATATTCATGTAAAATAACATTCAAGTTTGAACACTGCAAGCTTGAACTAGTGCAACTAAATAATGCCAAAATCAACTTTTACATAACACATTCATGTAAAATGATTTAACTGGTACAACTAGTTCATGATACAAACTAAACTTTTACATAACATAGACATGTCAAATAACTGAACTAGTACATAATGAGTATTACAACATCTTGAATACTAAAACAAAGAATACAACATAGGACATATACTTCCAATTTTTTTCCACTTGATGATGTTCTTCAAAGCAGCTTCTAATTCCATATTACTTAGCCTGAATACTTCAACCACTTTTTTTGCTTCCTCCATCTCTTGAGTTAGCATATATATCTTACTTGTTGCTTCATCATGATTTTCTCCTTTTCATCTCTACCTTCTTCATAGAACCATTCAAAGAATCCACAACCAACATTATTATATCTCTGTAAAGATTAAGAAAGAAATTACATGTAATAAAAAGACATTTCAACAATATTTCAACCTAGAATATTCAGAATAAAGTTTACCTTAAAATGTTGACAACCCCAAAAAATATTTCCATAATTATTGATAGTTATTGCTCTTCGAATTACATCAGTGTTTCCATAACGATAAAAAGGTTTCCATGGAAGATTAGAGCTGCTAAATACATGTGAATCATTTCTGTTTTTCGATGATGATGATGAACCACGAGCAACACTCATGATTAGCGCACTAATGTAGACGAATTAGGTTTCAATTTGGGCATTTCTTACATTATTCGCATTAGCTTTAGATTGGGGGTAAACTAAACTATGTTTCAGCAATGAAGAAGAATAAGGTGATGAAGAGAAAAATCCACCTCAACTGCCATGTCTTTTCTGTCTAACGCTGTTTATCATTATTTAATAGAAAGAACTTATTTAATTCTGTTTAACAATGTAAGGGACCAAATAGGATGTTTTAAAAGAAAGATGACCAGAATGGACCAGAGGTATAGGTAAGGGACTAAAAAGAGTATTAAGCCCTTTTTTAATAGAGGCGCCAATAATACTGGCGTGGTTATAAGATTAAATATGTATACATAGTGATATGTGATCTTTTACCAATCATTTTGGAATCTCTTCTTATCTTTTCATAATTTTAATTTTATTTCTAACATGTCTATTAATGTTTGTGTTTTTTTAGAGAAATAAGCCTCTACTCAAGATTCACTTGGAGAAGGATTAGAATTTATAGGAGTTTTAAATATGCTTAAACTATTGGTTAAGATAATATTTGGACGTTGGGTCAAGAAAGGTATAAAGAATAGACAAACGCACCTCATACATATCAATTATGGATGACAATGTGTTGAAAAAAAGACTCTAAACACAAGAGGGGGTGATTTGTGATAAACAATTTTTTAAAAAAATTCATAAAAACAATTGATTTAAAATAGTTTGTTAGAAGCAGATATTAACATAAATAAATCGTACTTTAAAGTTATGTTAGAAGCAGAGATGAACAGAGATAAACACAAGAGGTCGGGTGTGAATTTTGATAAACTGAACTTTAAATTTTAATTAATCATGAAATATTAAAAGATAACATTAGAAAAATGGTACCACGTCCCTAAGCATAAAGTAAGAACAATGTCCTCGGTAATAATTTGAAAAGTTATGAGACATATAACGAAAGTTTAAAAAGAACTCAAAATAAAATATCAGTTAACCTATAGTGGTGGTTGATAGGAATTTTTTTCCTTGCCAGCTAAGCCAAGAGCCTACAGCTATTTCTTGTTCCAATGTCCATTCTAGAGAAATATGAAAGTAAATAGGTAGAACAAAAGGTATATAGAGGTATGATTGGTTCTCTCTTATACTTGACAACTTCTAGGCCTGGCATGTTATTAAGTGTATGCTTACGTTCTAGATTCCAATCAGATCCTAGAGAATTCTACTTAACAAGTGTTAAGAGGATCTTTAGATATATGAAAGTACAACTAACCTTGCCTTTATTTATAGAAAATCACAAGATTACAAGTTAATATGTTATTGTGATATGACTATGCTAGAGACAGACTAGAAAGAAAGAGCACCAGCGGAAGCTGTCAGTTTCTTGGTGACAATCTTATTTCATAGTCCAAAAGAGAGAGTCAACAGTAGTATTATCAACTATAGAAGCTGAATATAATGTAGCATTTAGATGCAGCACTCAAATACTCTAGATGAAAAGTCAGTTATAAGACTGTCAACTTTATAAGAGTAGCATTCATATTCTCTGTGTTAATACTTTTGCAATATGTTTATCTAAGAATCCTACTTTGCACAAGATTCAGAGGATAGGATTAAATATTTTTACTTATAAAACATTACAAGATTCAGAATCATTTCAAAAGAAAGAAAAAGCACAACTAAAGACTACAATCTTCATACTACATCTGCATGCCAACCACTCTTCTAAGGAAGGTCATATAGTCATCATCAGTGCCTGATCCACTATCTTCATGCGGCTTCTTCTTCTTATTTAGTTTCTTCATCTTTGTAATTAAAGTCCTTCCTACTACAAAAGCTCCAACAGATGAACAAACTTGTATTATGGTACATTTAGTGGCCTTGTGCATATCATCTTTGTGCTTCTTCTTAGCATCTTTGAGCTTTCAAACGGAATTGCTAACTTATTTGAAGGAATCCTTTTTAGAGTTCTCTGATGAATTACTCATGTCTAAGAGAGAAATGAAAAAGATCTAGATAGAAAATGGAGGATTGTGACTTGCTAGTAACGAAGTTTTCTTTATATAGAGAGTTTTGGGATTGAGCAAAATTTGTTGTAGTTAATGTGTCCCAATGGTCAAAGGAGAGAGAATTTGTTTTGGTCTTCAGACACATCTTCCCAAGTTTAACTGCTATTGGATTGAACCAACTCGAGAATTGAAAAGATGTTGAGTATTCTAGCAAAATTGCCTTTATTTTCTTTTACTAGATTGTTTTTAATATGCAGTGTCCTTTCAAAGATCTTTTTTAATGTTTTTATTGTTGTTCTTTTTTAATGTTGTGTAATAATGTCGTCTGACAAACGTGTTATGTTGTGTGCCTTTTCATAAACGTTATTACTTTTCCTTTTGTAGGTAAGTGTTGAGTCTACTTTCTTTGTATCCCGTTGTCCTATTTTTTTCTTGTTCTTTTCAACTTTTCATCTCACCCTATTTAAAATATTTTTTTTACCTCTCACCCCTCATTATCTCTTTGTGTCTTCTCAAAACCATTTATGAAAGTTTGTTTTCCTTCATCTCAACTCTAATTAGAATTAGCTTCTAGCACTTTCTTTGGTGAAGAAAACTCCTTGTCTATCATTTATGATAACTTTGTTGATTTCACTGAGATTAAATGTCAAGGTTTTGATCTCTGTGATGTCGCCACCTCTCAATAATGGGGTAAATACTTCGACATGCTATTTGGACCCATTTATCTTGTTCTTGTAAAAGAATTCTGGATAAATTCTTCCAGTAAGCAGATTGGACATGAAGTTTTAAGAATCCAGTCCAATGTTTTTGGAATCCCAATTGTCATCATTCCTTCTATCATTTCTAAGACAATAAATTGTAAGGAGAATAATGTTTGTGTTCATCAGTACAAAATGAGCAGTCCTTTCACCACCCTCATTCCTCAGAAGATTCTTGACAACTTTAATAAGCCTGTAAGTGTCTCCTCTCTCTTTCCCATGAAAAAGATATGGCATCAACTATTCGTATCAAATATCCATCCAAGAGAAAAAAATTTATATCGACTCATGATGACAAGCATATCATTTTCTTCATCCAAACTAGTGTTAAAGTTAACCTTCCTCTCACCATATTTAACTTAATGAAGTCAAAGATCAATTCCTCTCACGAGGAAATTTTTTTTTTCATTCCTTATGGACGAATTCTTTCAGAACTCTTGTCTCAAGACGAAATTGTGAAGAAGATGCAAGATGTTGGCTTAACTGAGACTCTTGAAATTCATTAGAGCTTGA